GGTGGCGAAGGCCGAGAGGAGCACCGCGGCTTGCTTGGTGCGGGATACCGGGGGTAGAGCCGGTACCGGAGGAGGGGGGTCCGGTCGGGAGGGACCAGCTGCTGAGTAGTCCGGCTGAGGTCGGAGGGGGGTTGAATGAACTTGCTCTTCCATGGCTAAGTATCTTTGTTCGGTGCTGAATTGGTAAACGTCTGATCAGATGTATTGGTCTATGTTTGTGTCGTAAAAGTTATTTCCGTCGAGACAGTCTGTTTCATTTACTTGCCGGATTTTCATCCGCGGTGGTGCATGGAGCCCGGGATGAAGTATGCCACGTGATATGTCACCAAAGGGCCTGCTCGTATAGCCGCGGTCTTCGTTCCGGTTCCTATTTGTCCCGTGTCAGATCCGAGCTGACGATAACAACTCTAGGCCGTCTTTTCTTTGCCTGTGGCACTATTGCTTTTTCGGTAGAGCTAATATCTGCTGAGTGAGGCGATCGTCCTGTGGCTCAATTCGCACCGAACATGATGTCCCGCCAGGCTGAATTTAATCTTCGCTAGTCCCTTAATTGTTTTATTGTTTTCTCGACTTTCATCTTCATCTTCGGAACCGAAGTCATCGGGCGCGCAATTTGCAGTCGACCTGTATGGTGATACGAACTTCCCACACGGCCACCAGAACATGTGCATAGTGGTGAATTAGATGGGGCGGATCGAGCGACCCTGAAGCCGTTCTCGTTATCGAGAAAGGCCTCTCTAACAATGAAAACCAAAGTTTCCCTGCATCATTTCATTACCTCTGGCAAAACGTATTATCCTGATCGAGGATGCGTATGTAAAAGTGGTTGCCGCATAACGCTGGAGTCACATCACTCTTGTTCGCTCGTTTGGCTTCTCTTATGCGCCCACGTCCCTCAATTAGTTCCAGTAGATTGTCCAAAAGACCGGACGGCGGTCTGGATCCATTCCAAAAATATTTCATCCACGGCATGAACATTCCATCTAGGCCCGTCGCCAAAGCAGACACAAGTCTCGTGAAGATTGCACTTTATATCCTCGAAACCCCGCCGCAGGACGGGATCCCCTTCTCCTCTGGCGGCCGCCTCGAGGGCCGAAAAAATCTCGTCGCCGACCGCGCGTCGGACGCGCCCCTCGACGCTCGCGGGGGATAGCCATTGATCCGGGTCCATACCCCGAGCATGGTAGTCTGCCTTGATTTGCTCGTGGACCACGTCCCCCAGGTCCGGTTCTGAGACCGGCGCGTATCTGGGGCTGATCGACCCGGTCTGTCGGAACTCCTGTCTGGCCTCGATCATAGCCTTGATGGAAGAGACCGTCCAATATTGCGTCACCTTGGAGTGGCCCAGTGACCGCTGGACTAGAACCTCAGTGTCGGTGTGCTTGCGGTTGCACCCGTATTGGAAGTGGTTCAGCACTAGATAGCGTCCGACGTCAGCCCGAGCTCTTCCACGCCAAGAGAATTGGGGAGATGCGCGGTTGGATGACAAGGAGAATAATGATGAATAGGTCTCATGCATTGCTTACATTCCCAGAACAGAGTTCCAGCAAACGTTTTGGATCCCGGGCCTAGATAGGGAAGAATATCATTCGGCGGGATGGAGAGCCGCATGTAATGCGTCGGGTCCAGCCATATACCACATGTGTGGCGCTCGGATGGGCCGCCGGAGGAACTCAAGCCTGACCAGGATTTCAAGTGGTCATCTGATGGGTGAATAATATCTCTGGTGGTCGCGTCTATGGTGAGTACCTCTTCGCTACGACCGGTCGTAGTGGGTGCGACGCTATTACTTTGCGCCGGCTTCTCGGCATGAATACCGGCCGCCTCCGCCACGTCAATTATGGTATTGAGCAATTCGGGGTGTTCATCACCCCTAGTGCTCTGGACCAATCTTTCGATGGCACTCTTGAGTTTGTTCTCCTGCTCCGCTTGACGTTTGCGGAAGCCTGCTTGGGACCGACGGCCCCTCTCGCGTCGGCGCTGCTTCTTGGTGAGTATCGTGCTTTGCCCAATGCAGCTCAATTTGCGCTTACCCGAAGTGACTCTTCTTCCTTGGTGGACATCTTGCTATCTTGAGGATGAGTGAGATAGATTGGGCAGTGGCGGATGAATTGATTCGTGTGTACCTTGGCAGCTTGGTCGACCATTACAGGGCGAGAGGCAGCGGTTATGTAACCGCGAGGTCCGAAGAGGTGGATTTGTCAGCTTCAAAGTGCAAGGAAATCAACGGGCGATTGCATGGTTCACAGGCCAGCCGCCGAAATAATGTACAAGGGCCGCATCATCAATGCATTGGCGTATTGTGCCACTGGGATTCCGTTGAATAACAGCCCAATGTACCGCTTAGGTATTGGACCCGGCAGCCCGGGCACATTTTTGCGACGCGGCGTGATTTCCCTCCACTGACCCCCGCTCACGTAACCGCCCGCGCCCGAAGCATCAACAGGCTCCACAGACCTCGGGCGGCTTAACATTTAAATTGATGGCCCGGCAGTTATGTGAGCTACTCTTGCACTCCGTGGTTTCGGAGCATGGTGGTGTCCGCATTCTCGGACATGTGGGACAATGCCGGTAGACAATGTATATGATAAATAAGGCGGCGATGGCAATGGGATTGAGGTGTCCAGTTGTTTCGCAAGACGACCACCTCGACCCCATTACCTCACTTACCTCAAGTATTCACAGAACGCCCTGAACAAGGAGGACCGGAGATAAAGGATCAAAATGGTCAAAATCGCAATCGCAGGAGCCTCAGGCCGTAAGTCTTTCATGCCGCCCTCCTTTGCCCTACCGAACCCGAGCTGATGGAGAAATGCAGAGCTGGCAAGAGAAGTCATCGACGGCCTGGTAGCAACTCACAAGCATGAAATCGTCGCACTGGTCCGAAAGGTTGGTATCTGAGAGTCCCTGGAGGAAGGGAAACCCAAGCTCACTGGTTGATGTTAGGATCCGGCTCAATTTCCGTCGCTCCAAGGTGTCTCATGGGTAAAGACCGCGTACGAAAAGGAAGAGCTGGTACGCTTGTTCCAGGGCGTAGAGACGGTATTCTGTTTCTTCCCGGTCCACCTCGACCCCGGGAATGCTACGCAGAAGAGGCTCATCAATGCATCAATTGAGGCTGGCGTCAAACGCTTCGCTCCCTCTGAATGGGCCACGTGAGTCACCCCTCACCTCCCGCTCTCTCTTATCTTTCCCTTCAACTACTCCTCTCCTTACCTCACTCAAACAGCCCCCACTTGCTATTATACAATTCGGAAGGCCATCTTACACAGAGGCAAAATGTTAATAAGACAGCAGCGGTGTCAAATTGGAAACAGCACTCGATGCGATGCCGTGGTACGCCGGTAAGATCGAGATAGGCCACTACTTGGAGGAGGTTAACAAGGAGAAAAAGGTAACTGGACCCTGAGAGACTTGTGCAGAAGGCACTCAACTAATAGCCACTCAAGGTGATTGAGTACACCAGATTTCAAATTGGTGGTTTCATGAACTATCTTGGCCATCCGCACCAGACGTTGAAGCATACAAACACCCTCCCGTTCGTGTTTGATTTCGGCAATCAGCATGCCACCGTGGTCGAAGGCACACTCGACGATGCGATTGTGTGGACAGCCGTTCAAGACATCGTCGGCGTTGTCGTTCAGGCTGTGGAATATGAGGGTGAATGGCCGGCTATCGGTGGCATCACTGGGAGTCGGGTCACTCTTAGAGAGATGCTTCAACTGGGAGAGTCAACTGGTACGCTTCATATCTGCTTCCCATCTTGCGTTACCCTCATCGCAGGGGTACGTCAGACAGCCAGGCGGCAGGACCTGCAGCTAACCAGGAGATAGGCAAGCCCATCACTGTCAATTGGCTGAAGATGGAAGACATTCAAAGAGAAGTCCGGGAGAAGGACTTCTCTACTATGCTGGATATACATTCTGCTGCACCGGAGGAGCTGGGTGAATGGTTGCAAGCCGCTATGCGACGCATCTTGCTCGCGATTCATCGTGGGGCTTACGACGTCACAGCTGAATGGAACAAGCTGCTCCCAGACTACCCCTTTACTCGAGTTGAGGAGTTCGTCAAAGGAATTTGGGAAGGGAAATGATGGAAATCAATCATCTCTCACAACCCGAATGGGAGAGCGCTTGGCATCAGATGATCAAGGAATATGAATCGGAATCGGAATCATGAATCGGAATCGGAATCATGAATCGGATCAGGGGGACTTCGGGAAGAGGTGGAAATAAGATTGTTGAGAAGGAGATGCGACTTCCCTCTCCTCAAAATCGCATCGCAGTATTCTTAGTCATTGATGTCTTGGCATGCGGGAAGATGTGCGGGGTAACGCCTCTGATTGATTCCTGTCGCTAGTCCCCGTAGAGCCTCATTCCCAAATCTCGCACTGAATTTTTTTTGCATCAATCAAGAAGCCGGATGCTATCGTATTTGCTTCTGACTTGGGCTAACCCAGAACCTGTGAGACCTCGCCAAGAAAGCAATTAAGAGGAACACAGCGGTAGATGAAAGCCTGGTGGTTTACCCCACTCTCGTCCGATTTGGCTGGGTTGTCTGAGCATATCTTCATCGTGTAAGTGGTAAGAAGAGAAAAGCCATGATTGTGCTCGGTCAAGAGATCCGAGAAGTTGATAGTGGTATAACACTGTGCCGCGGGGTCGCCTGTATCGCATGGCCGTAAGTAGCGTACGCTTCATCAGCTCACAGCAGCCGGGATGATGGATGGTCTCTTTTGGTTCATGAAATGATGTAATCATAAATAGAAAACTGAATATCCAGAGTTGTCTTCTCATAACAGCCAAGGGGACCCAGCTACCGCCAAAGGGACTCAACTGCATCCGAAGAGGAACTTTTGGAATAATTCCGCACTGGCTCAGAATTAGTTCCAGTCCAGTGGCCCGACAATCCTCGGACTCTTTCTGGAGTGGGCTTGAAGACCCACAATGTCTTGGCAATATAAGCGTTCATAAACAGCAAGTCTCAACAACGAATCATGAGCCTCTATGGCCAAGTGGTAAGGCGTCGCACTCGTAATGCGAAGACTCGTGCGTTCGAATCGCACTGGAGGCAGCAATTCCTTTTTTGCATTTCTTCTCACCGAGGTATGAATGATATCCGTGTCTTTCCACGCCTCTATTCAGCAGCCCAACGGAAGTAACGCCACATTTTAGCAGCGTGGCTAAGAGCGTCACACCTTCCGTCTGTACACCGCCACTTTTCTAAACTTTAATCAGGCGCCTTTGGACTGAGTGCTGGAGTGCAGTGCTCCTTTTTCTTCGCAGTGCAAAACATCCCCCTTGACAACCTGCCAGATCTCCAGGGCTACTATCAATCTACCTGCCCCCTTGAGAATCCGAGAGCAGGACAAATAAGCATTGCAGCTAGCTTTTATTCAAGAAGAGGGCAATTGAATACCATATTGAGGCCGTAATAATGCGACTGAAAAATAAGATTGTCTATTGCCCGTGCATGCAGGCGACTGGTGTTGCATGTTTCGTATCACTATGAGAGTTCGTCTTGGTATGTCACCATAGGCTCATATGTGAGATCCCAAAATGCAGACAGTCCACTTGGATCTGGCAGCTTGGACGGGGGTGAAACGGCAGTTTGTGCAAAGGTTATTTATTGTTCTCACCTGCCCTCGTGGGCTGTTGTTTTGGCACAACGTATTCAGAGGCAAAGAAGACCTCCAGTGCCTCTCCATCTCACACACATCCCCCAACACCTTCGTCTCATTTACGCATTATCCATCCATGGTAGCCATATCACCCCATCCGCCATTTTTATCTTCTTCTATACATAGAATACAGGCTTCAACACAACCGCCAGCCAACCACCTGTTTCGTCTAGATCATGAACGCCACTTTGATCTGACTGCAAACCCGATGCTGCAAGACATCCAAGAGCTGCGAGATCGTTCGAAAGGAGAGCAGCGCTCAGGCACCTTCAAGGACGCAGACGCACAAGCAGGTTACACATGAATGGTCGTGCCCTTACGGAGGACAACGGCTGTCCCACACAGACCAACAAGCCACGAGGCCTGGTAAGTTCTCTGAGACCTCGAAGCGTCACTGCCTCATGGCAAAGCTTGGCTGTTTCTGACGAGGCATTTGACGAAGGTCAACGTGATACCACGAACGGGTCACGCCCTATTTACCCACCAATTGGCCGGCTTGGTTAGAGCCGACGAAGCATCCCAGGATCAACAGCAATTTATCCTACTTAGTACTCATGGTCCAGGTCACGGTACTTGCCTTCCTCTACCGCTGTCTATGTAAGTAGATAACATCAGACCACATCGCACCCCAACTTCCATACAACTCAACTAACAAGGATTCCGTCAAAACTAAGTGGGTGTTGCCGTTAAAGCATCACCCTAGGCTAACACTCCAATACTTTCGGGACCTCACCCCGTGAGCTTTTCGACAAACTTCAGATGGACATACTATTCGTCCTTCCTCTATCTCGTGATGAAGAGACACCCAGCCCGGGAGAATCTCAGAGGTTAAACATGCAGCTTCAGGACGAGCTTAAGAATATACACGTAGGTCACATCCTCTTCTACCTTTACGCCTCCTCAATCAACGAAAACCTGTCATAGTAGGCTGTCCACATGCATGACCATGGAAGGGACAAGAGTTCATGACTCATCATGGCCGCCAGGTCTCGCCGGCAGAGGACCGCGGCCGGCTTATACCTGCTATGGCCACTAATCCGCGTGATCACGAAGTCCAGGTCACCACCCCGTCTGTGCCAGATCGATCAAGAAGCACCCTTCTGGACCACGGGGGAATACCCCTACGCAAGGGAGAGACCCCTGTGCGGGTTCGTCCGCATAAAGACCAGACTTACGAAAGGTCTCATTAGCCATAGCCCATGGCCGGTTCGTATTTCGTTTGCTGGCCTATTCGCTCATCGAGTATTCGAATATGATGGCGGAGGTTGCGGCAATAGCAGACTCTATTGTATCGGGTGGTCGCAGCCGTCCAGCGTAGCATCGGAAACAATTATTACTACCAGACAGTTAACATAGACAACAGAGATTCCGCTTAAGGGGCACTCGGGCGAACTGGAGGGGATCGATTCTACCTTGGATGCATCAGGTTCTCTTGGTTCGTGGCGGTGTTGGAGATTGGGTCAGCTTTGCAGGGGAGGCTTGTGCGGAGGCCTCGCCCCTTATTGTTCTGTCTCACCCTGTTGGGTTATTGTTATCCCTGTGTAATGCAATTGTGCAAGATCAGTATCAAGACAGCTCTGGTGGTAAATATGCCTGCAAGCCAGTACGGCCAGGGGTCCAAGGGGCTGTTGTTGTTCCCTCCGGCGATCCCCATTGCTTGAGTTCGCATTCTCTGCTTCCATCACTGACGACGACCATGGAGTACTCTCGACCGCATTGTTGTTCTTCCCCTTCCTCCGAACCCCTCTCTCCTACCAAGCATCCAAATCATCCCAATAACCCTGGGCCCACAAACCCTCCTCCCGCACCACTCGCACACTGACCCCTTCGACCTCCACTCCATATCTGCCTCAGCTCGACAGCGTGAGGATCGACTTCCATAATGTATCCTAGATATTTTACGTTGTTACGGTGTGGATGTGTTATAAGAGCCTCTTGACTGTTCTGTTCTGCCCTTCCCTTCTAGACCACTGGTGCCTATGTGTCATCATGTAGCTATAACAACATAGGGAAGAGACTAGCTTCTCGTAAATGGACTTCGCCTGGGTTGATAGTAGTATCAAAATCGAACTCAGGGGTAGTATCTATCAAGAAATGGCTAGTGATGTGCAGAGGGCTAAACATGAAGACCGAAGAATCTTGGCATCGTAAATTTTCATCGTAACATCCCTCGTCGGGATAGCGACAGTAGGAACTGTACCCGAGAGGATATTGAAGATTGGCGAAGTGATTTCGAAAGTATGGATTTACCGTATAAACATGAAAGGGATAATTGGATACGCAGTATTATATAGGTTATTCTATATCTTTGTGATGGTCTTGTGAAGTTGTATTGCACAAGGATAACAATAACCTAACCGCGCAAGGTAGAATAATGAGAAGCGAAGCCTGTGCACAAGCACCAACAGATAGGCCTTTCATTCTACTGGAGAAACCTGCTTATTTTAATCCCACAATTTAGTAGCTAGAGCAGGCCCTATCGTGGTGCTAACCTTTGATATGCCTGAGGGGTGTAGCAATGGAATTTATCTATTGATTCGGTAGACTCTTAGTCACTTACCCCTGACCAAAGCTTTTCACATCAGAGGACAACACGACAGACTCCTGCTGTCTGATTGACTTCATCCTCGCAAGATACACGCAAAATAATCTTAGGATATCATATTTTCCCACCCACAAATCAATATAAACTTGATTCAAATATCCCCCTTCTTCGGTACTGTGGAATCACACCATCTGTGAAATTGATCGGTGCAAGTCAGCCTTTAGAAGGTGAATTCATGCATACTAACTATCGGCAAGAGCACCACTAAAGGCCTTTTCAATCCCTATCTAGGTAGGCACCCTACCCCTTTTCTAGCTGTAGCTACTGCTACCAACAACCTCCCCATCTCCTGACTCTGTGTGGTTCAATACCTACCATCGACTTGGCGACCAGACTTGAAACATATCTTAATCAACATTCTTTCCTGTTGTTTACCTCACAATACTACCTGACTATCCTAGCATTATTATTCTTCTTCACCTACTCATCCCATGCCTGCGTCCTGTTGATGAAAATCTCTTACGCACCCGCACTTTCCTTCGCAACAGATGTCATTTCACACAATCCTTTCTCAACATACCCGTGGACCTCAAGGCTGGAACTTCCCACTGCTGGAGACAGCACGCACTTTACCACCTTTGTAGCGAAAAAATCCAGGCCAGTCGTGAGCCACCTCGATCCCACCTTGTGGTCCGGCTCAAAGCAATCATTTATTGAAGTAGTTCTCTTTCGGATACGAACCTGGACAACATCGTGAGCTCTCCAGATCCTATGATCATACGTGCCTTCGAATACCACACCAGGTCAAGCTCCTTCCATTGGCATAGGTCAGCTACTTCAAAGTGCCGCGTCACGCCCTAACATATGACCCCCTTTGCCTCGAGCCGCATATAGGGCTTCTGGGCACGTTAGTAGGTGAGTATTTTCTCATGCGACGAATACATGTCTTGAAAACTTCTTTCTACATCCCTGATCGGACAAAGTGTGTCTGTTGGGCGAACTTCCACAACCCTACAGTGCCCCTTTCACTCCTTCCTTCCTATACGTCGTATCCTCTTCACCCTGTGCCTATCTACGCCGGATCACATCTCGAGCTGTATCTTGCCCTTCTTTACAAGTTGCCTATCCGCTGACAATATCACCATCTTCATTCTCCAGATTAAATCTCAACCACGACTGAGAAATTTGTATCGGCAGCTATCTTTACCCTTATCGGTTACATGAACTTCTCTCCCTTTGCAAAAAACAGCTACCTGGGCGTCTTGATTCATGCTATAATGAATGTTGACAAAGGTGAAAAGGATACGGCGCGGCAGTCTCATACGACTAATGGCACGAATGAGCCACTTATCGGCGGAGAGACTCCGCCGTCCAGGGGCACTGATCATGGTGCTGATGGCCACTGCTCCTCCTTGATGGTTGAAAGCATCATGGAAAATAGAGCTGCTTCTGGTCAACAAGTGAAGCTGAAACAAGAAACCGAACTTGATTCTGGGAATCTTGCTGACGCTCGTATGAAAAGCAACTCGAATTACAGCATTTCTTCTGCAATAGTCAACCACCACGCCCTGGATTTGCCAACACTTGGACAATCTCAAACGCCACTTCATGCTCCCGTCGGTTCGAGGGTATCAAAAGATCAACAGACAGAGCTGGAGTCTCTTCGAGAAAAGCGGTTATTAGGGTTTGGCAAAAGAAGTGATTGTCTACCGGATGCAGACTCTGAGCATCCTGTTCCAAACGTCGAGAGGGATCAGAGCGCTCTGGGAAATCAATCACAATGTGGACAAGAGACCACTGAGGGGTTCAACGGTTTGATCCATCGATCTTTGCATAATATCAATGAAT